GTGTATTGCGCCGCCGGCTCTGTAGGGTGGCAGTCTTCGAGGGTCCGGCCGCGGAACGGCTCTGGAATGTTGGCTGGGGGCAGCAGTTCTCGGGGCGGTGCTGCTCTCTCCAACACAGATCTGATGCCCAGCCAACAGAGGTGGGCCCCTCAAGTATAGTCCAGGTGGCGATAGACCGTTATGGCCGGCTGCTGCACCGCATGCATAGGCCGTCCGCTGGGCCGTCCTGCAGGGGGTGACCGCGGTCCACGGTGCCCTGGGCCGCCCCTGCCGTGCCGACGTCCTTGGTGGCCCGGCATGCCATGAGCCCGTACCCCATGTCGTTCCGATGGCGGAGTGTGGTGCTGGTTTGTTGTCGCGAGCCATCTTCGTGAAACAAGGGAGGGCAAGGCAGGTGTTTAGTTGCGAGCGAAGTCTTGCTTCTACCCCCCCGCCAAAAAGTTCCAAATAACGGATCTGAGGCGGGCACACGACCGCCTCGGATCCAAGAGGGATCTGCTCCCTCTTGAAAAGGGAGCAGATCCGTAGAATTAGAAAACTACCCCCAAAATGCGAGAGAGTGGAAGACAGGAGACACACAAAAAAAGGTTCCTCTCTTTGGTGTCACCAGCATCGCAGATTATACCGCCGCCTTGGTGGAGTTTCCGGAACGGGATTTCCGTCAGTGTCGTTCCGGTCCTGCGAGGAATCTTCGTCTTCCGCTTGAAAAAATTGTTTAAGGTCGGCGACATGAACAGGTCCGGTTTCCTCACTTGTCTCACAGTGAACTAGTTTGTAAGTGAGTTGTGAGCACTTTTCACGCACGCGAAACGGACCTTCCCACCTGTTGGCGAAGGAGGCTGCGAAGCCCCGAGCGGCGTCGCTCAGTGGGTGAGCACGCCGGAGCACAAAATCTCCCACCTCGAACTGCGAGTCACGTCGCCCCTGGTTGTACTGTTCTGCCTGCTGCACTCGGGCGACGTCGAGATTATCTCGTGCCTCTCGAAAGTTATCGGAGAAGCGCTTTCGCAGGTCCTCCGTGAACTTCACGTAGGGGCGAAGCCTTCCCCCAGACTCTGAAAAGCGGGAACGCAAGCTCCTTGCCGAAAGTCAATTGGGCAGGAGTGAGACCCGTTGACCGATTAGTGGTCGTACGGGTTGCGAATGCCAGCTCGGGCAGTTCCGCGTCTCAGTCCTTGAGGCACTCTGTGTAGGCCACTAACATCATCTTAAGGTTCCGATTTACCCTTTCGTGATGTTTGCTTGCGGGTGGTATGGGGAAGTTCTTTTGTGCTTGATTCCCAGCACCGCGCATGCGTCCACGACCACCTTGCTCGTTAGATAGGAGGCATTATCGCTCGCAAGCTGTGCAGAAAAGCCAAACCTAGCGAATGTTTCAAGTAGACACTCCCAGAATTTTTGCGAAATCTAGCTTCCGCAAAGGGAATAATTCAACCCACTTCGTGAAGTGGTCGGTTACCACGAACAAGTACTGAATGCCGCGGGTACTACGTGGGAAGGGGCCCATGACGTCACAGCCAAGGGCTCTGACTCACGATTGGTTGCATGAGACCGGGGGGCTGACCACCACGTGATTTTGCCTTCTGGCACATCGAGCACCTACGAGTGTATCGGAGCACATCCTGCCTCATGCCTGGCCAGGTAGCAACTCGAAATAACTTTTCGTAAGTTTTGCTCCCGCTGCTGTGTCCTGCCAAGGCAGAGTCATGCATGTATGAGATGAAAAGCTTACGTAGCTTGCGGGGTATCACGGTCCGGAACGCGGAGCTATCCGGGTCGTCGTCCGCCTGGGGGATGATAGCGCAGCAGGAGGCCGTCGTCGCTAATCAAGTAGGAGTCAAACTCCTTGTCACTTAGGTGGTCAACTGGACCTCTTGCTGCCAGCCAGGCGGACACGCGTGGGCAGTGCCCGTCATCCAGCTGCGCCTTGCGAAGCTCCTCGCGTCTCACCAATGTACCTTACCGTGAATCTGGGGATCCTCGTGTCGTGGCCGCGACGTTCACCAAACCATAGGTATCCTGCGAGTGTTCCTCGGGAAGTGGAGCACGAGAAAGCGCATCAGCAACTTTGTTAGTTGACCCCGGGCGGTACACAATGAAGAAGTCGTACTGCTGTAATAGCGTAAGCGCTCAACGAGCAAGACGTCCAGCCGGATTCTTAAGTCCCTTTAGCCATGATAGCGCTAAGTGATCAGATTGAATCTGGAACGTTGCGCCATCTAGGTACATATCGAAGCGCTTCAAAGCATGAATAATGGCGAGACATTCACGTTCTGCGCGACACTGTAGTTGCGCTCGGCTGGAGTTAGCGTGTGGCTCGTGAAAGCAACTGGCCGAAGCACACCGCCATACTCCTGCAGCAAGACAGCACCCAGGCCACAGTCGCTTGCATCTATTGCAGAACGAACGGCTTGTTCAAGTCTGGGAGCTGTAAACAAGCGTTGTCAGTCACGGCTTTTGAAAGGGCTGCAAATGCGCATTGTTGTTGTTCGGCCCAACACCACTTGACGCCTTTTTTTAGAAGTCGATTGAGCGGTTGCGATATCTCGGAACAGTGTGGAATGAAGTCCCTGTAGAACGCAATCATTCCGAGGTATCCTTGTAGGCTTTTTACGTCATGTGGGCTTGGGTATTCCGTTAGCGCGCGCAACTTATCTTCGTTGGGGCGGAGCTTGCCGTTATCCATAACGAATCCAAGGAGGTTAATCTTGAGCGCGGCCAACTGAACTTTTCCGGGATGAATTGTGAGCCCAGCATTGCGCATTCGCTCAAGTACGATGCGAAGATGGTCGACATGCTCCTCAATAGTTCTCGAGAAAACAACCACGTTATCCATGTATGCCATGGCAAATTCATACTTTGAGTTCCCGAGTACAACATCCATCAGGCGTTTAAAACTAGCTGGAGAGTTAGATAAGCCAAACGGCAGTCGGGTGAACTCGAACAACCCTCTGTGGCAGATGAAAGCAGTTTTTGGAACGTCTGGTGGGTGAATCTCGATATGAAGGAACCCGTGACTGCAATCCAGCGTTGTAAACACGGTCGCGTTACCGAGCGCGTACACCACGGAGGAAATGCTGGGGACAGGATAGCTGTCTCGAACGGACACATCGTTAAGCCGCCTGCGATCCACACAGAGTCTGGCTGTTCTGTTTTTTTGCGGAGCGAGAACAACGGGGAATGCCCAGGGGCTCTTCGACTCACGTACTGAACCTGTGTCGATCATTTCCTCGAGCGCCGCATTGTAATTTGTACCGATTATGTCTTGCAGAAATTGATTCCACACGGTGTAGTGGTACAGCGCGAGGGTGCTCTCTCAAGGAAGACATGAAACTTACATTCGCTTCGACGCGAATAGGATTACAATAAAATCTTTGAAGCCTTCACTGCTTTACAAGCGTTGTCCTCTCATTATGAACACTGTGGAGGAAACAAAACTACTACCTTATCATTTACTGCGTTCAAACATTTTCAGCCTTGAACGTGAGAATACGGCATTCCCTCCAACGCCGAGGACGAGAATGCGAAGAAGCTCCCGTTTACGCTCGCAGCGCTCGCACACTCATAATAACACGTGTACCTTCCCGGGGAAGGTGCACGGTCTGGATGCAATGCAGTCAATTCGTGCGTTGAAAACAGCAAATCGCAATAACCACACATGCTGCACCTCATTATTTCTAATTTAAAACGTCCGCCACCAAAACCAACGGAGCAAGCGAGCTTTGACGGCCGTCGGCGCAGAAAGCAGACGACGAACAGATCACGTGACGTATTTAGTCAATTTGATCCGACGTTACCCACCGATCGAGGAGGGTAGCGTGAGTAATTACTCCGGAGTAAACAAACCGCTTCTGGAACGCGAGTTCTGACGTCATCGAGTAAGCTCGAGTAAGTTTTGGAACGCCACGGTACGAAACCTTTACTCCGGATTCGGATCGAGTAAATTTTGGACCACAGCCAAGGTGGTACGTCTGCAGCTCGCCCAGGAAGTCTGCCACGGACTTGACGTCGTCGCACCCCGTGTAGACTGAAAGAGTCAAGTGTGGTCTGGGCTCTCGCGGTGGGGTCTCCTGCTGGCCAGGCGTGTGGGCCAGGCACTGCATCACGGAGTCGCACATCTCCATGACCTTCGTGAGCAGGTTCGTTTGAGCCGCTGCGGCCATCGCGGCTTCCTGCTCCCGTGTAAACATGCCTGCAAGAAAAAAAGAAAAGGAAACGCCCCCAAAAACCCAACACAAGCGCGCAAAACGATTGCCGATGTCACAAAAACACAGTCCGAAACACGCCAATACAAAAAGCGCGGGCGTGACGGAAGCACGGAACGACGATAGAAAACACGGGGTGTGGGAGTGAGTGAGTGAAACATGTCTTTAATATGCAAAGAAGGATCGCCTGCCTTGGCCGAGAAGGTCTTAAGCAGGAGGGTAGGGTTATTTGGGTTGAGAGGGGGGGGGGGGGGTATGAAGATGAATACGGTGAGGTTATATGAGGTTATGTGTCCCCGAGTTTCTGATGTAATCCATCAGGGAGTCGAGGAGCGCTTTGCGGTGTTGTGGCGAGCCTCTGGGTCGGGCCCACTCGTCCAGCGTCCTCGGTCGGTCTTCCTCACGGAGGACTTCGAGGGCTTTTTGTCTGTGTCTATCTAGACCTTTGCAGTTCCAAAGAAGGTGTTGGAGTGTCGCCATGTTGTTCCCCGTGCAGGTTTTGCACTTTGCTTCTTCTGGTTCCAGCAAGCCAAAGCTCGCCAGTTTCGCTGGAGTGCATGCCGTCTTGGTCCTGATACGACGGACCCGGACGGCAGCCCATCGGCTGTAGCCTGCTGGCATCTCGTCTTCTTGTGGCGGTAGGAGACCCCTGAGGTAGGCCTTCCTCGCCTGCCTGTCGAGTTCGGCCTGCTCTTCGGGATCTACCGTCTCGTGCCTGCCGGATGGAGAGGTCGGGCCAAGCGTGGAGCTATAATGTGCTGCCTCCACTGCGGCCCTGTGTGCCGTCTCGTTCCCGGCTATTCCACTGTGTCCAGGAAGCCACGTTATGTACAACTCGGTGCCCCTTTCTCGAAGCTCCGTCGCCATCTTTTTTATCTTTTTAGTCGTGCGGCCTTTGGCCCTGCTGCATCTGGTCGCGATGATCGCCTCCTGAGAATCTGTAAAAATTCTGGCTTTACTGGCCGTTACTGAGATGCTCAGGATGTCTTCGATCGCCGCAAGAATCGCCCTGAGTTCGGCTTCTTTGACGGATGTGCCCTCCGGTAGCGCTTCGGCCCACCCCTTGTTCCTTCTTAAGTCGTGCCATGCTGCTGCTGAGGCTCCCTCGGTCCTTGCTGCGTCGGTATAGCGTATCTCGTCGCCCCCTCCATGTTCCTCGCACCAAGCTGCATGTAGTCTAGCAGCCCTTGCCCTCTTCCCTTCGTTTAGGGCTTTAGGGAGTGGCCGATGGTCTGTGATTGGCTCATCTTGCCACGGTGGAAGGGGCTCTTCAAGTGGGGGCTTGTTCCTCATGTCGTACCCCAAATCCTCTAAAAGTCGACGACCTTGCCTGGTCCGCTCCAGTCGTTGAAATTGAGCGATGATCTGTGCGTCGGCTCTGTCCTCAATACGGCTCATCTGAGCTTCTTGCCTCAGCTCTTCGAGTGGCGTGAAGTTGGGAAGGCCTGTGACCACCCTCATGGATCGGTGATTCAATCTTTCTAGCTTTTTCCACTGCCCGCGGGTGAGATTTAGCCAGTTGCAGCTATATAGAGCTCTCGACGTGAGCAGGGCTTCCGCCAGGATGCGAAGAGCCTTCTCGTCGGCGCCCCATGACTTGTTGGTTGTTTTTCTAATGAGCTTCAAGCCCTGAACCCAGTTTTTCTTTATCTCTGGGAGCCATTTCGTACTTCTCGCCGTTTCCTCGAAGGTGACTCCGAGGATTTTGATCTGTTGTTTTCTGCCAATCTCTTGCCCGTTTAGCTCGAGTCGTATCGAGTTGGCGATTCCTTTCCGATGGTCTCGGGGCCTGGCTACTACCATGTATTGCGTCTTTTCAGGGGACGCTTCCATTCCGAACTCATTGAGATACTCCAGGACTTGTTCTATGCCGCGTTGCATCATCCATTCCTGCTCACCTAAGGATCCGCCGCGGGTCCAGAGCGTCACGTCATCAGCGTAGACGGTGAAACCTAGTCCTTCAATCGTACGAAGTCGGGTTGGAAGACCCGCCATCACCATGTTGAAGAGGACCGGCGATATCACCGCCCCCTGCGGTACTCCTCTGCAGTTCGGCGTCTGGGGACCTTTGGCGTCTCCAATTTTCACATGGAAGTTTCTATTGCGCAGGAAGTCCTCTATGAAGTTCAGTGCCTTGCCTCGAATGCCGCATGCCTTGGCTCCTCTAGCGACAGCCCAATGAGGGACAGCGTCAAAAGCCTTTCTGATGTCGAGAGCAACGACAAGTCGCGGATCTTGCTTATTCTTTTCGGCCATAACCTCTTCATAGAAAAATTTGAGGCTGTCATGGGTACCCATTGCCTCTCGGAAGCCCGTCTGTCTGGGATCTAAACACTCGTGCTTCTCCAAGTACCACTGAATCCTCCTGAGTACAATCTTTTCCATCGTCTTTCCGACGTTAGATGTCAGGGAAACCGGCCGCAGATTTTCAATTCGATCGAGTGGCTTGCCGGGCTTGGGTATCGGAGTCACCCAGGACAGCTTCCAATCCTCCGGCAGCCTCCCCAATTCCCAGACCTGATTGTATTTGTCCAGGAGTCTTTTCTTGGCTTCTTCCGGAAGATTTCTGAGTGCTTGATAGGTGACCCCGTCTGGGCCGGGGGCGCTGTTGGTCTTTGTTGTGAAGAGCGCTTCTATGAGTTCCCCCGTGCCAAGCTGATCTTCCATCCTATCTTCTAGTGGCATGTCCAAGTCCTCGGCCGTTGCTCTGGGGGTCGTCGGTCCTCCGTCCTGAGGAAAAAAAAGTTCACCCGCCTTGATTGCCAACTCCTCCTCGCTTATGTTTAGCTTAAGGGCGAGGTTCTGTGCCGCATTTCTTGTCCTGCGTTTCCTTCTGTCGAGGCCTCGGTAAGTTCGCCATGCCTTTCCAAGCCCGGTGCGCTGGTTGAAAGACTCGCAGTGAGTTCTTCATCTTGTGCGTCCCAGTTTCTTCGAGTACCTGTTGGCCTTCGCCGTCGCATGGTTTAGCTTGATTTTGTTCCGTAGTGTTTTCTTCTTACCGTATCTTTGGAGCGCTTGTAGCCGGCTAGCCCAGAGATTGAGTAGGTGGTTGTCAGGGGTGGGGGCATCGGGCTTCACCAATATCTCCGTCTTGGCTTCTCGGAGTGCATTGCGTATGCTCATCTCGACGTCTTGATCGTCTTCCGCTTCAAGAAGCTCTCTGAATCGGTCCCACTTTACTACAGGTCTCTTCTCCTTATAGCCTGTTCCTTGGCCATGTCTGAGCTCCATTTCCAGGGGGAAGTGATCGCTGCCGAGGCTATCTCTCCATGGCGTCCATTCAAGGTCGAGACATCTCGAGGCCCAAGAGAGGTCCGGGTAGAATCCTTTTGCCTCCGCTGCTTGGCTAACCTAGTTCTGACGCCGGGTGCGTTGAGCAGCTCGAGGACCACGGTATTCATGGCTTCTAGGATATCTTTGCCCCTCCTCGTGTCGGTCGTATATCCCCAATACCTGTGTGGTGCATTGAAATCTCCTGCTACAATAATGGGATCCCCTTCGGCTAGTTTTATCAGCCCTTTGATCCACTGCATCCCGTCTACCGCTTTGATTTTTGGTCTAAGATAGACAGAGGCCACGGTGATTTTGGTTCGTCCACGCCTGATTCTCGCGGCGACAACTTCTCTGTCTTTTGAGCAGAGGGCTGTCGTATCCAGTTGGGCTTGCGGTATATGTCGTAGGATACCAACGGCTGCCCAGCCCCTCTTAGTTACAGGGGTCTTCTCCCGATATCTAGGGGCCGTCTCGATGGTAGGGTTCGTGTAGAAGTTGTAAAACGGTAGTGTCATGGTCGGGGTCCTTGTTTCTTGGAGTAGCAGCACATCGGGCGGGGACTGCGTCTCAAATCGTAATTTGAGTTCTGCACTTCTGGCCGTAAACGTACAACAATTCCATTGGATGATCCGAGTCAGTTCCGTGGCGATCCGTCTAGCGTTGGTTGTGGAGTTACTTGCCATGCTTCAGCTCGGCAATCTCCCTCCTGAGCTCCCCGATGACCTCGTAAAGTGCCTTGAAACCCATCTTAATTTCGGCTTGAAGCTTGTCGACCTCCCTCTCGGCGTTAAAAGTAGATGTTTGTGGCGGTGTAGGATTGGCCCATTCCGGCATCCAGGCAGGCAGGCCTGTCCTGCTTATCTCTCCAGCTGGTTTGGGTTCCTTTGTGCCCGCCAAGGCAGCTGCTGCGTAGCTGTCCCTGGGTTGCGCCTTCGGAGGCTTCAACGCGGGTTTTCTTTTTTCCGGAATTTTGCGCTTTGGGCAGACATTGCTGGTAGCAACGTGCTTGCCTTCACAGTTGTGGCATCTGGGTTCTCGGTGACAGTTCTCCATTTCCTCATCGTGCAGCTGGCCGCAGTGGCCGCACCTTTGCTCCTTCCGGGGGCAAACATCGGTCTTATGGCCAAGCCCGTGGCATTTAAAGCACACGATGGGGCGTGGGAGGTACTCTTTCACGCCTAGAATTGCGTTGGAAAAGATTACTCTCTTGGGGAGTTTGTTACTCTCAAAAGTCACTAGTACCACGTTTTTGCTTTTCCCGATCAGTCGTGCGCTGACTATGCGGGACGTCTTACATTTCATGTCTTGCATCAGCGTCTCTGGAGTCTCGTCGCGGTTGTCTCCTGGGAGGTAAATGATGCCTCTAATCTGATCTCTCCCGATGGCCTTGTGCGGTCGAATCGCGTACTGATCGCCGCCTTTTTGCACCTCTGTAAGCTGAAGAAGCTTCTCTGCGGTCTTTTCATCTTTCGTAGTAAGTGCAATGGTGTTTGCCCTTGCCTGATACTGGATCTTAAAATCGTCGTCTTTTGTAACACCCGCCTTCTCAGCGGCGCTCACAATGTCTCGAGCCCTAAATGCCATAGCCTCTTGCTTGCACACAGGTTTGAGAACAATGGTCTGTGTCGTCTTCCTAATATCTCGTGCGTTTTCTATTGGAGCAGCTGTGGCTTTGTTTTCCTCTTTTTCGACTGATGTCAGCAATCGTTTGCGCCGGCGTTTCGTCACCGTGCACCATTCGTTGACTTCGGGATTTGTTGACGGAGGGTTGGTACCTGGAGGCGTGGCAATTCGTTTGCTCGAAAGAGAGTTCGACGAAATTTCTGGCGGGGTCAGCGTTGGAAATTCCTGAGAAAATTTTGAGCTCACCACTTCGTTAGCGTTGTTCAATCTGGTTTTTTGCTGGCGTTCTTCGGCGAGCTGAGCCAAGAAGCACATGAACAGCTTCCCAATTTCATCTCCTGGGATCCCAAGCAGGTCCAGTAGTCCAGGGTCAATCGGAAGGTTGACGGCCGGGTGGCCCGTCGATGAAACATTCATTGACACATCTCCGGACTTGGCACTCTGTGGCCCAGTAGTTAGGCCTAGCGACGTATCCATCTCATCGGGTTCCGAAGACGTCGGTCGGAGGAGTGCGGAGGGTTCGCGGTGCTCCATTGAACCTTCTTCGATAGTAAGAGACTGGTTCGGGGGCACGAGTACCCCCTGAACCTTGGAAAATACCTTAGAACTGGCAAATATTGGAGAGCTACGAAGAAACTGCAACTGGGTTGCTCGGAGGCTTCTTCTTCCGGGGTGTGGGAAAAAAGCTTAGCGAAAGAAGAAACCAAGCCCCGTGAAATTCCTGCGAGTGGGTAGCATACCACGCTCGGGCGCCATTGTGGTCGGTTTGCCTTGCTGCATACCCGACCCGGAGGAATAACATGGAGCCAACGGTTTCAACAACAAGAAACTACATTTAATAGGACAAAGACGATCACAATACTAACATAGTTGTCACCTCTCGGTGGTAATCGGTCGACCGCCATCGCGCTGCTTCTGCCTCGCCTTATCTAGGCGAGCGGCACGAGGCGCGCGTGGCCGGCTGCTTGCCGCCATCTTGCGGCCGAATGATGGCCGCGTTATTTTGGGTACCGGTCAACCGTGTACCCCCACACTGTGCACCAGTACCGGTGCCAGTCCCGTTCCCACTATCAGTGTCGTCAACACCCATCACGGCGCAGCCCAAGCAGTTCCCCGGACCGGAGCCACCAGTGCCCCAGGGTCCAGACGCCTCTTCGCAAGAGCGTCGTCGGCGGCTGCCAGATGTCCTGAGGGACTGTTTCATTCACTCTTTTGGACTGGGTTCAAGATATGTGTGAACAATATGAATTTTTCTTTATCCAGCATACTGCCTCAGCGCAGCTTTTTTCAGTGCTGTGCTTTCCACAAAGGTCATTTGCGACGTGCTTTTCCTTTTCATTCATTTTGTATTTTCCAATGTCTTGACTAGAGTTCTCAAACGTCATTCCATTGAAGTGTTCAGTACACTTAGCATTTCCTTTCAGTGGATTTTCTATCCAACTGCCCTGCAGTTTGGCATTCGTTTTTACTTCCCTCACTTTTCGGGAAGAGAGTTTATTCATTTTTTTTTTTTTTCTAAGAAAGGGAAGAATGTCAGTTTTTTTTTTTTTTTAAGGAAAGGAAAGATGTATTTAAATTTTTCGCAAGTTCTATATACACTACTCAGATGGCGCTACTGTCCACCATTGCGCCCGTGTTGCCAGGGTTGCGTCCCCGTGGCGCTTGACCCCCATGTTTGTTTTCCGTTATACATGCCTTGCAAGTGACGTCATGCTAGAGAAGAACGGGGCCCCGCACACTACTGGTGGTTGACTTCACACCGCGCGGACGCGCTTACCAAGGCGTAGGATGCCGCTAAGTGCCCGGGCATGCGCTGACATGCACCATACTTTTAACAAAGGTAACAGTCATGTTATATGTGAACTTGGAAAAACGTGCCGAGCTTACCATGATGACGTTTAGCCAGTACGTGCAGAATTTTTCGGCACTGGTGCGATCGCGCTACGAGCGGAAAGTTTTGATATGCCGCCGACACAGTTTCAAAA